CCCCAAAACCCCAAAACCCCAAAACCCCAAAACCCCACTTTACTAAATTATTGATGAATTGGAATAATCAAACATAAAATTTCAATATAAAGTAAAACGAAATACTTTCTTACAATGTATTACTAGTCCAAAAGCCAATCAAATTGATTTTTAATAAAATAGTTTAATCAATTAAAAAAATATTGCAGGGAAGTATCTTTGCCATTATCATGGTTTGAGTTATTAAAGAGAATCACTTATTTAATCAGTTAAAGAGAGTGTTATTTTTAGAGACTATTAGTTTTTATAACTCATCAACATGTTCTTAGTATAGTTTTCTTTGTTCTGTCCTGTATTCATAAGCAGTTCTCTTTCTATTGCTTTCAAATTCTTCAATTGGCTCCTCTGCATCATCAAGAGAGTTTCCGAAGTCAATAAGATACTGCTGTTTTATGAGTTCTATTGCTAACTAGCATACGAGTGAATAGTTACAGGTGTTCAACCCAGCATCATTAAAAACTTGCTTGCAGGAGGCTAGGAATTTGTCAAGTCTGTTATTTTTGTGCAAAAGAATGATCTTCTCTTTCCCACTAATCTTAAGTTTGATTGAAAAGCAATCACTTTTATTATTCCTTAAGAAGAAGCCGTAGTTGACAAAATGATATCTATTAGACATGTCTCCATAACTACATGGAATCTACTCTCCTTCTTCAAGGTCTTAAGCACTTACTATTTAGAAGAAAGAACCTTCTGGAGGTACAAAGTAAGCTGTTGTATCTTCAACAATTCCTATAGGAACTTCACTTATAATTGTTTCTAGCACTTATTCTGAAGGAGGGAGATACTAAGGGCCGTTAACAGCTTCAAAACCAGGTATGCAATAGCAACTTAGATTCGCAGTACTGTTTTATGTCAATATCTTACCCTCAGAATCAACTACCTGCCAAATTGAGGTTTCTTTTGCAGTGTGATGATTCATTGAATCAATCATTGGTAACATAGAGTAATACTTAAGATTGAAACCAAACGAGATCAATCTGGACTAAGTCATCGACCATGCTTAAAAATACTATTTCACGAAGTTTTCTTTAGTATGTTCTCCTGGGCAAAATTTGTCAACGCAACCATGCTCCATAACCTTTCCATAAATTTCATCCGCTTCTTGAAGGCACTAAACTCTCAGTCTTTTGATTAAACCTATTGCCTGAGTATCTTGTATAAACTCGATTTCTTCTTCAGTCCATTAAAATGGTAGATCAGCAGGGGCTGAAACTGAAATGGCATGGTATAAATGTGACTCAGTACCTAAGAGTAACTAATGCATGTAGAAAAGAGCTAGAGTGTAGTCTTAATTAACATCTAATGCTTTGATTATCTCCCCAACACCTGAACTATTTCTAATAGTTTCATAATCTGTTCTTGTCGAGCAGGGAGTTCTCAAGATCCAATCTCCTTTCTTCAACTATTAATTCGTACCGACTCCTACTAATAACCCAGAAGGGCCGTAAGCAGAGGGGTAATTAATTCTTTCCAAATTCATTCCTTGTTGAATGCACCAGTCTAAGAATCTGGTATACTTAGGGTCTTTCTTAAGCTCTTGTGCGGCTTATTTGTCACTGAATTGAAAAGGATCAGGCTAGCTTTGCATTATGATTTTAAATTATCGATCTTCTTAAATTAGTTAATAATATATTTTAAATTAAATTAGAAGAGGAATATTCAATTACATTATAAATATTAATCTTTGAATTACAGATTCTGCTTTAAAGCTGAGATGATAGATGATGGGGTTTTGGGGTTTTGGGG